CTGACCTGAAAGGGTCATGTTGCATATCAGTCGATCCGTATCGTCGAGCTGAACACATCTAATGCGTTTTCATCGCTATAGCATGCCTCTATCAAAAGTTATTTGCGAAAAACTGTTAGATACCATTCGTGACCTAAGATGACCTCAGGGCATAAGCAGGGTTCACGGACACCATTTTCATGTTCAGTGTGTCTAAACCACTTGTATTTCAGTGTTTGGGAGTGTTTATAATGCCTTTCGTCCAAAAGAGGCGCATTTCAATTTTCTCCCATTGACTTATAGGTAATGGGGAGGTCGCAAAATTGACCTGACCTTAGGTCATCGATATCAAAATTATGAGATACACATTTTGTACTTGCTATTGCTCTTAGCAATCGCTGAAAGTTTCAAAGCGATCGGTCACTCGGTGTAGCTATGACAGACACTGAAACTTTTTATGAGGTGAGGTCACTTCAAGTGACCTGGTGAGTGGTGACCTGACCACCTTGAATGACCTTGGTCTGAAATTTTCACAACATGTGTAGAATTGATGTATGATAAAATGTACCAAAAACGGTGGCGGAGATATTCGCGAAAAACCACAAGGGGGGTGTTCAAACACCCCCCCCCCAGCAGGGCGCGGGTTAACTTAGATATTAAATAATGCTTGATTGCAGTGTTAGTGCCATTGCAGTTAATAGGTGCTTAACCCGCGCCCCAGTGGCGGTCTCAGCCAACTTCGCCCTAGTGGGGGGGGGGGGGGGGGGCATATGTTAGCACCCACCTCTAACTCAAAAACTAAGAGGGCTAGAAAGACGCGGTAAATAGCAGTCGATAGCTCTCAATGCGTACGTTTGAAAGTATTTCGTTCATTTTTCATCTTAGAGCAATATTGGGGTCACTGGAGGTCATCAAAGGTCAAAATTTGCCAAATGTCTTTATATTTTTCAGAAAACTTGCATTTATCTCAGGAACTATGATAGCTAAAAAAAAAAAAACGCATGGAAAGCAATCGATAGCTTTTGAAGTCTTCTTCTGATAAGGTCATCATCAAAATTGACCGAAGGTCAACGGTTTAGCCTCCAGAGGGCAAAAACTCTAAAAATAGCTGTTTTTACGAAGTTTTTTTCGACAATAACTTTTGACTAAAAAAAGCCACGACATTTTTATGGCCAGAATCGTGTTCTTCTCGCCGAGACGCGTCGAATGAACTATAATTTGACCTCAGGTCAAGGTCATGACCTGACCGGAAAAGGTCATGTTGCATATCATTCGATGCGTCTCAACAAGACAAACACAATGAGGCCATCCCCAGCGTCCTATCTCTTTCCAATCGAGAGTAATTGGCAAAAATCTGTTTGTGGCCTCAAATGATCTCGGATGACCTTTCTAGAGGCTATCAGCAAAAAAGACGCCTTGGTCGTCACGGGTGGTCCAAATCATTGTGATTCTGAAATATTTGGACTGTTCCTATGCGTACACACGGATCTAGAGGCATTTTCATTTTTCTATATTAACTTATAATGGTAAGGTCACACCACTGGCCTGACCTTGGTTCGCGGATATAAAAAATCCGAGATATACAATTTATAGGTGCCCATAACATCATGCAATCCACCAAGTTTAAAACCTTTCTGACAAACACTGCAGGCTGGACATGATCACAAACTTTATTAGGCTTGGTCAGTTAACTTGACCTGGTGACCTGACCTGTCATGACCTGGGGTCAAAAATTTCATTCATTGTCCAAAATTGATGTACAAAAAGCTACTTCAAGAGGCGCGGCGCTACGCGCCGCGGTTTTTTATTCACACGCAAAAAACGCGACAGAGTGGTAACATATGCCCCACCCCCACCCCACCCACTGGGGCGAAGGTTAAAACTATCACAAGCAATATCCACTTTTGTTATAGCTATAAAGAATTTGACATAATGAAAAAGTCTGCTTATATTAAGGATACTGGTGATGAATTCCGGAGGTTCAGGTTATGATATGTACCTTGGTAATGGTATCAAAGATGCATACTTCAGCTAGCTGGGAATTTTGAACAGTCTTCAAAGGATATCCTTCTGTTTTTGGGTACCTATATTTGTTTGAGACACTCCAAAAGCTTTAGCTTAGCTTGACCCATTTGACATTTCTTTACTGCTCGAAGAACTGGTTGTTTCTTTTATGCTTGTGTTCAATTGAAAATGATCAAAGTGTAATTTTAATTACCTTTGTAAGTTACTGAAATGTGGGTTGAATTACCAAAGTTAAAATAATACTTTCCATCATCAAGATTTAGTCAATTTAATTTTTGACAAAATGCCTGGCTACAGGTGAAAAATGGCAAATCATGGTGAATGATTATTGGTTATTATTTGTACACATTGTTGGTCCCACCAAACGATGTCAAAGAAATCCACCTCTTTGGTACAGTTGTAATAGAAACAATTATTATGATATATTGAGGTGCTTCAATAGGTATAATGTGGTGCTTCTATAGGTATGTTTTGGAGCTTCTATAGGTAATGTTTTAACTGGATAGGTACTGTTCTACTGTTAGAGTGTCATCTCAACCTTTTTAAAGGAATGGAGCACCGAATAAGTGGGTGTGTATGTGCAATTATTTTTTTGAGCAACAAGGCTTGTGGAGCCAAAGGCTGGAGTTTTCAAGTTCGTTGGCATTGTCACATTATCGTCGCTGACCGAAGTTTGAAGACTGAGAAGTGCTGCACCGATGTAGTACCAATGACCTATTACCTAACCAAATGACATTATTTAGATACCTAAGACATTCTTCTCATCAGAGAACAATACATCTTGAGTGGTTCACTGGCCATTTGGAATTCGTTGATAAGTCTGTGAAGAATTGAAATAACTGGTTGATTGTCAGTAGCTGTCAAGACGTTAGAAGTGCTGATGAGCTGTTGTTGATTGCGCCGTTGAGCCGGCGGCGGCTGGAGAGGGGCGGAGACGGGCCGCCTGCGGGGCGCCGCGCCAGCCTGACCGCTCGCCTGTGCCCGCAGGCGGCGCCATGATCTCGCTCAGCAAGAAGCTGCTGCAGAAGCGCGGCGAGGCGGCGGCCGGCAGCGCGGCGGCCGGCGCGCCGCCAGAGAGCCGCCGCCGCGCCGCCATGCGCGACCGGCTGCTCACCAAAGAGGTGCAGGAGATGCACGAAAACCTGCCGGCCACCTGTTCGGTGGAGTTTCCGCGGCCGGACGCGCTGCACGAGCTGGTGCTGACGGTGCGGCCCGACGAGGGCTACTGGCGGCGCGGCGCGTTCGTGTTCACCATCACGGTCGGCGAGGAGTACAACCTGTCGCCGCCCGAGGTGCGCTGTCGCACGCGGCTCTGGCACCCCAATATCGCCGAGGACGGCGCCGTCTGCCTCAGCCTGCTGCGGCAAAACTCCTACGACGGCATGGGCTGGGCGCCCACGCGCAAACTCAAGGACGTCGTCTGGGGCCTCAACTCGCTCTTCACCGACCTGCTCAACTTCGACGACCCGCTCAACACCGAGGCGGCCGACCACTACGCGCGCGACCGCGACGGCTTCGAGCGCAAGGTGTCCGAGTACGTGCGGCTGTACGCGCCGCGGTGAGCGACTGACCGCTCCGGAGAGGGACGGACTCGGCGCCGCGCGGCCGGGGCCGGCCCGCGGACACTGCCCCGGCCGGCCGTGCGAGCTCGGCCGCCAGTGCCGCGCGCGGTCAGCTCCAGTGCCGAGAGCCGCTCATAGGCCGGCAGGTGTCTGACTCGCTCCGGTGACCTCAGTGCGCGGCCGGCGGGTGGACGGGGAGGTACTGGCCGGCCGATCGGCCCGGCCCCGGCACGTGCAGCGCCTCCGCAGACCTTCCGTGACACGGCCGTCCAGTCAGCGAGCCGGCGAGAGGCGCCGGTGATCGCGGCGTGTGTGTGTGTGTGTGTGTGTGGTTTGGGGTGGCTGACGCGCTCGACATGTGCCGAAGCACCGCCAGTTTAACAGACTGAAGGCTACTTTGCCAAGTGCAGGCTGTTGGCTGGTCATGCTGCGGCATTCTTATCCTGCTGATCATACTGCGCTGATTATCTGCACAGAGAACTGTATCTAGTTGAGCCGTACGTGCCTGCATACTTTGACCTCTCTGATTTGTGTTCGGCCGTTTTTAGGTTAATGATGCCGCAAATCCAGAATCCCTCAATTTTGGTTTGTTGGTCTTTATTGGTTTGTTCGTTCGCAGCCAGTCTTGTGAACTGTGCACTCTGTCATATTGTTCGTATGAGTGATTTTGGCCCAGACTGGCTCTTGTTTAAGCAGCCTGACGTTGTGTTTTAGTTCAGATAACGCCTTACAATGCCGTTTGTTTTGCTCAGCGCCACTACCATTGTCAGTCGTGAATCGTTCGCGCTGGCCAGAGGCGACCTCTGAGAGTGCGACGGCCGTCCCTGTGTGGGAGGAGCCGAGCGGCCGTCCCGGCTGGGGTGCGCCGTCCCCCGCCGCCACGGCAGTCCCTGTGTGGGAGGAGCCGAGCGGCCGTCCCTGTGAGGGAGGAGCCGAGCGGCCGCCCTGTATACGCTATGTGCGGCGGCCCCACCTTACCGACTGCTCCGCTGACCGATACTTGTGAAATGTGTCCAGTCTGATAACGAATAAATATCCACTCTGCTGCCGGCCTATCTGCACCGAGACACAGTGCAACATATCGACATCATTGGGAGCCCTCGGGTGCAAAGTATGGAGGAGAGCTATCGACAGTTACTATCGGACTAACCTAATGATCTTAATGAATTTCCCTCTATAAGTCTTTTCATAGATAAGATGATTCACGTTATCTATGGTCTTTTTGTTTCCTTTTTCTGACTAACGCCTGATCCTGGCATGTGACACTGAATTACCTACTTGGAGCGGTGGAGTACAATTTGCCTACTGCCCAAACGCCGTATGTTGTGAACACTACCCAGATTACTGTCTTCATATGCGCACCGTGACGTCTATGAGTGTCAGCGCAATGTGTTTTCGTTAATCTGACTTTCGCTCATCCACATCTCTTCCCAGGACATACCTCTACTCAGCATGAGTTGGCCGATTCTGGGTGGCGCTGCCAGCGCCGCCTGCCGGCTGGGCAGTGCTGCCCTCCCGCGGCGAGCGGTGGCAACTAGTGCGCCGCTGCAGCGCCGTTTCCCGCGCGCCAAGCTGCCGCTGAACACGGAGCGGCTGAACGGCACTGAGCGGGTGTCCGTGCTCGTGCCCCGGCTGCCCGACCTCTCCCGAGGGGTGCCGCAGGACGACGGCGGTATTCGGTACCACGGCTTCACATACTACCCGCGGTGAGTCCAGTATAGCGGTCTCACATACTACCCGCGGTGAGTCCAGTACAGCGGCCTCACATACTGCCCGCGGTGAGTCCAGTACTCAAGTACCACGGCTTCACATACTGCCCGCGGTGAGTCCAGTATAGCGGCCTCACATACTACCCGCGGTGAGTCCAGTACAGCGGCCTCACATGCTGCCCTCAGTGAACAGAAACACGGCTTCACATGCTACCGGCGGACCGCGGTGAGTTATGGGACAGTGGATACGGCCTCACATACTACACTCGGTGAGTTATAGAATGCGGCTTCAGATACTACATTCGGTGAGCAGTATGTAGTCCCGACTGCCCTATGTGTACCTCGAAGCCATTTTCTGATAAGAACTAGCTGGTTTCAAATATCGTTTCAAATAATGCCGGTTTGAAATGGTACCAACGGTGAGGCAATTAATTCCTGAGACCGCAGTCTGAGATGCCTCCCGTGCTGAGTCAAATACTATCTGCTGGATATATGGAATATGCGACTCGCATTGAGTCAATTATTGCCCTCTGTCAGTCTGAACTACCGCTGGGCGGATGTCTCAGATACTACCGCTGGCAGTCCAAATGCTGTCTGCGGCCAGTGAAATACTGTCCGTCGAAGTCGGTCCGCCCCGGAGCTGCGGCCGACCCACTCAGTCGCCGGAGCAGGGCTCGACTGGCATCAACTCTGGTATTTCCAGAAACAACAGCTGCCGCTCACAATCATCAAAACCAGAATTCGAGATGGGATGATCGCATCAGCCCATTCGAAGGCCCTCCAATAATCCGGCGTATTGTTATTGAATGCCGGGTTCGCGGACTTGGTTTGCATGAACTGCGCTCTGGAGAGCCATGGTTTCCGGCCCGCACGGGCCGATGTATGCTGCGGTCCGCCCTGAAATAGCCACCAGGCAAATGCCAAGAAATCATTATAGATGTCACCAGACAGTACCAGAGAAACTTTAGCGACATTTAATGGCAAGCTGTGTTATGAACTGTGAACGGGAGCAGCGGCTTTTCGCGGAGAGTAATTTGGGAAGAAACGCGCTTCAAGCCATAACCATACATGTGTGCGACACCTCCATGACGTCATCTTCTCTTTTTTTTTTGTCCCACTGAAGGGTTAGTTTATTTTCCATTACATACACAAGTACAGCTGCACGTATCACTATCCCTGCGATACTGTCTCTTTCTACTTGAACAAAACAGCCGTTCACAAAGGAAACAAACGTAAATACATAAAATACCTATAAATTGTAAGTCTAAATACTTCAATAGAAATAAATAAGTTGAAACAGTCTGTGTGTATGTGTGGGGGGGGAGGATGCTGGTGTGTGTGTGTGGGGGGGGGGTGTATGTGTTAGGGTGTGGGTGTGGGTGTGTGCGTGCTTGGGTGTGTGCTTGGGTTTATGATTAATGTAAAAGTGCACGTGCTCACTGGCACGATGAGATTTGCTTTTATCGGAGAATGTGCCCCAATGTTTTCCACTTCTGCTCAAACTGGTCAATTTTATTTTTTAATTAGACGTCATCTTCTCAATGCGGTGGCACTAAGACTGGTCGACATGGGAGGTCATCAGTCTCACCTGTGACGTCTTCTCTCGCCGCCTGATGTCTGACGTCACCCCTGGCCGTGTGACGTCACCTCAAGTGTGACGTCTTTTGTACCATGTCTGACGTCACCCAGCGCGGCTGTGGTGTGACGTCATGATGCGTCTCATGTGTGACCCCCCCACCACGCTGTGTCCGTCCCCCGTTCCCCGTGTTGCGGAGTGGCCTGACCTCCCCCCGTCCGTCCCCCGGCCAGGGTGCCCGGCCAGCCGGAGCCGGCCGTCACGCCGGCCAAACTGCACCGGATCGAGCTGATCGCGCCGCTCAAGGGAGAGCCCTACTGGGTGAAGGACACGTGTCGCCGGCTGGGCGTCCACTCGGTGGTGAGTGCGAGCGGGGTGCCGGGCGGGAGGGGGTCGGGGTACCCCGGGATAGGGATCCCTGGCGGGAGGGGGTCGGGGCACCCCGGGAAAGGGAGCAGGGACAGCGGTCACATAGCATGGGCTGCACAATACACATGACCTTACCAATGTACTATGTATATAATGGGTTTGCGTAAGCATTAGTACGAAGTAACTGGACGGGCAGGCGAGCCTTTGGCAGGCATGGCTCGCCTGTCCGTCCAGTTACTCCGTGTTATCATTGTACTTTTGGTCTCAATCTCAATATAGGTCGCTGGTTTGATTGATACTTTTCTCGCGAGTCTTTTTCGATTTTGATAAGGCTGCTTTATGTGACTTTG